AGGTCACTTTTGATTAAAAACAAGTACAACTATTGTTCGTGACCAAGTGATAAACGTTTGTTTATACGTTACATGATAATTTGACATTACCTAATACCCAGGTGTAAGTAAAGTCACTTTGTTTAACTTTTGACAGAACTCAGACTTTCTATAAGTTTACTACAACACGATGACATGTAACGATCATTCCGGTCTTACTATGAACAAAATTTAAACCAAAGGAAATGAGATTGGAACAGCCAAAGGAACATATAATAAACGTCGTGTAGGTTAATAAAAATAGTCAATAATGAAAGGTAGCTCACCAAGGGATCTAATCGAGGAACAATAAAAACACCAGGTTTACAAACTTGAGAGAAATAAAAGGATTAAAGACAGGTTAAAATGATGGCCATGAAAGAGACCGAATATATATCAAAAGAAAACAACTAAAGGATCAAAGCGAAGACCAGTAAAAAAAAATTAAGAAGTGAAGACGAACAAATGGTTTATTTTGGGTATTGTTTATCACAAAGCTACACAATGTGATATCTGTGCTCTGACTACCACGGATGTCGAAACCCGATTTTAGTATCGTAAGCTTGCAGACTTGCTGCTGAGGGGGAGGGGGTGGTGGAAATTTCAACCTGATCGGTACCTTTTGCAACTCATGGGCTAAATGCTCAAGTCAAAGATCCCTAGGGTTCAGGTATAGACATATTTGATTTTTAAATCCTGACCAGTGGGATGGCACCTAGTCAGAAACATCCACCGCCGCAATATGTCCGTCTTTCGAATCTGATAACGAAATTGAATGGCATGCCACTTTTATATCAGTCACAGAGTTAAAAGTGCGAAGAGTGTTTAGTGGAATCACGTCTCGAATCTCGGACCATTCATTTCGCACCCTGTCTCACTAACCACTAAGCAACGCAAAGCTCATAGAGAACAAATGAAGGAAAAAGAAAGAAAAAAGTGAGGACCTATAAAGAGACAAAAAAGTTTAGTTTAAAGAGTAATCTAATAACGACCAGAAAATGATGATGCAATGCTTTCATGAAGCCTCAAAGTAGACGTAAATGAGAAGAAAGAAAAGAACAATAAAAATTATGAAACTAAATCACTAAAGCTGAACATAGACCACAAACAAACTGAAAAATGGAAATCTCGAAAATGACAGTAAAATTTAATTCAGTTGAAGATGAAAACTTATATGAAAATAGAAAGGAACAAAATCAAAGTGCTTAAAGAAGCGAGCACTTGGAGAAAGAAGTAAAACACAAGGTTTGGCAAAATAATGATCATTAAAAAAGCTATGAACGAAATCCGTAAATACTCCCAAATATGGAGAAGTTGACCGAATTGGTCCTAATATTGAACTAATATCTGCATTTTGTTAGAACATTCTATCTCTCCCTTATTGTGCAAGTCGTATATGTGAACATTCATTAGATAACAGGTACCAACTACTGAATATAATATATTATATTTACACACCTGGTACAACAACTATTATGTTATTCATGTTAAGAAAAAAAAACGTTTTTATTGCAAGTTTGAATGGACTTTCTAACCTGAAAAGTCGATTATCAACAATGATAATTTTTTTTTCAGGAGTAGTCACTGGGTTCGCAAAGGTTGAGGGAGGTACTGTATAATTAAGTCCCAGGTGCAAGATACGCGATCATGACTACAATGGATACAAGAAAAAAAAATTCAGGGCATGTTTCATGAATCTCATTTTCAATGCGTGGAAATGTTGAAATACACTATGAGGCGAAAAAATACTTCTGTGCTAATCCAACTTATGATTATGTGTATTACCACATATGCTCCCTGGTACCTCAGATGTAAGTCTTGGGGCTTATAACGCTAAAAATCGAGGTTCGATACACTCGGTGTCCAGAACACAGATAGACGGCCCGTTGTGTAACTTTGTGCCTAACAACAAACTAACATATATTATTAAACAGACGTTTAGCCGTTAGGTAACAAGCTTTCTAATTTCAACACATTATTTCATGTGTAAAAGGTATTCAAAAAAGCAGTTTCACTCATAGGTCTTATGCTACATTTCAAAAAAAGTAGAGTAAAATGTGTTACAAAACAGACCAAAGAATAGCTCCCAACAAAAACCATATTTTAACCAGCTGGCAACTAAAGAACTGAACAACAGACAATGTTAGATCCTATACATTACATTACCAAGCGTATATATACACCAAAATATATTAAAGGACTGGTCCTCACTGGAATTATATGTGAATTCCATAGAGGTTATAAGATCAGCAACTGTTATATACAACCGATTGTAGTTAATATGATAACTGGATTCAGCATTGTTAGTATGAAAGTGCAACACCCAACTTTATCGTGGGTAATGTGCTGTAGAAAGGAAAAATCAGTGTATATATCAGTGTAGAATAACGGTTCGTCCATGACAAAAATAACCATAGCTCCATCGATTCATGCGAATCTTGCTATATGTTATCAAACGAAACCAGGTATATAGCGTTAAGCCATAGTGTAGGACTTTACTAATTATTCTGTACTGTAGTCCAGTGAACACACCCAGTGCAGTAATCTCCATGCTACTAAATCTCAAATACGAGCTGTATCCCATAAACCGCTAATTACAGAGGGAGATGCAAAACGTTAACTTTCGTGTTTCCTTGAATGTCAAACTTAGTGTGAAAAGCAATCGAGTTAAGGTATTCTTTGGGTGAATGTGTCTGGGTTTGATAGCAGTCTGGAAAACGTTCTGGATATGACTGTCTTGTTCTAACCATGACCAGTGTTGGAGTATTATTAGATGCGGTCGTGTTAAAACTTAGTTCACAATTAATAGTTAAGGAAACCGTCATTGTCTTGCCATAGTATGACATTCTAGACAGTATTGCATTGATGGGATTCTTTCGAAAAGCCGTTCACATCTCTGATGTACCAGACTATTTCGCATGGCGTATTCATCAGTGGCTTGAGACAAATAACTCACAAAATCTGCCTTGGATATCCTAGATCCAAGGAATATTATGAAACGCTGCTTGAGAATAGAAGAAAGGTAGTTCTCGAAATCTTCAATTCGGGGATACTTTGGCAGTCTATTTCAATAGGTGTGTATCAAGGGTTAGTGGAAAGTATCAGTAACAGACTATTGTGGCAAACTCTAAAGTTGTGTCTCTTTGCTATTGATATTGGACGGCTGCTGCCAAACAAAACAATCCTTTCTAATGATAATGGACGCCTGCTGCCAAACAGAACAATCCTTTCCAATGATACTGGACGCCTGTTGTCAACACAAAATAATCCTTTCTCAAGGTTTGCTATCTTAATAATTTTGGTAACATAGTGTGTGTTGTATTTTGAAGAAGTATATTAACAACCACACTATTCAACCAATTATGTTGACCAATCGAAAACACTCTGAATAAAATGTGTTTCCCATCATCAATATATTCCACAGTTGGTCCTGACGATAGGAAGATACTGTTTTTGATTTCACATCGTGTGTGTGTGTGTGTAACATGCAAAATAATTAGTTAGCATTAACTATATTTTTAGATTTAATTGCTATAAAATCGAACACACTTTACGCTTAAAAAATAGAATTTAATGTTCAGTAATGTTAGTTATTTTACTTTCGAACTTGTATGGAATCGAATTTTTATGCTAAACATATAACGAGGACAATGTCACATTTAAATTTCTGATTACAGCGTCTGAATTCAAATTTTACAAATTTTCCCCTTTAATTCGTCATATTCTAAACAGTTTATCTTCCATAGTTCAAACAGTTCTTCTTCCATAGTTCAAACAGTTCTTCTACATTTGAATTAATAACTGCTGCAACTGAAAAACGTCTTTTTTTGTGAAACTTTACTCGTTAACTTTATTGAAATTGTGTCTGTATTTTGTATACTTGAAATATACCTTTGCATTTCAATATATACTGTGAAAGTTGTTCATAGGCGGGGGAACCAGAGGGGTGTTTAATCTCCCCTCAGGTCTATTCCTGATGCTGGCAGGTTAATACCTACTAATATAAGTCCGCTATGTCAACACATGTCCGGGTTTTACCGTGTAGATTTTATAGATTACTCTATTTGAAGTCTATGAATACCACATATTCTTTGGATCATACCGCCCCCCCCCCTGATCCCCATAAAAATGACCAAGCTCAAGTTTCACATGTTCTTTAGCATCCCATGGTAACGTTTTTCTTCCTCCACCTGTGTTGTTGTTATTGGCAATAAATAATAATAAAAATTGAGGCCCAAGGGAAATTTTACAATAAATTTTAACTTCTGTAATATGTCGTAATTTTCTAATTAAAAAAACAGGGTAAAACTTCAAGACCTATTTACATAAATGAAGACACTGGAATACTAAAATAAAATAAAAATAATTTCAAAGAAAAAAAGGAGAAGAACTATTGTTTTAATTTAAAAAGATCGAGTTGTATCTATATATTTCTCAATAAAAATAAAAATAATGACTTTTCAGACATTTGGTAGAATTTTACATTATTATCACGTTTAATTTTTTTTCCGCAAATGTTAGAGCAAGCTAAAATTATATGATGTAAAAAAAGATACATCTCGAGTTAATAATAATAATACTTTCTTAGCTTATTTGTTCTTGGTCTGACCTATACATTTCTCGTAGACTTTAATCTCTAACAATGAATACACTCAGAAGTTTTCATGAAATGTAGAATTTAAAAATTGAAAATAATTTAGAATTATTTCTTACTGCCATCCTCACGTTTCGATCTTAAGCAAATGCTTCAAGTAAATGAATTGTTTGAACATTGAAGGTGGGTTAGATTCGCGTCTTTGTGAGTAGAATATCCGTATACATTTTCCAATCAAGTAAAGTGTACTATAAGACAAAATAATGATTCAGTTATTTCTTCTCGTCCACAGATTTCAATCAGGAAAAGCTCCACGCCAAAATAATATATTTTAAAATATCAAAGAAACAAATAGATTTTGAAATCAGAAACAAACATTTCTCATTTGTGAAACGAAACAACAAAATATTTTATTATAAAAATGACATTATTTTTCCATACATCAATGGTATTATAGTTTTGACATAAGTGCTTAGAAATACAAACACATTCTTCATAAACCTGAGCAGACTATACAGACTTATACGGTAAAATCATGGCAAAAAAAATCCATCTTCCAAATCCTGTAGAAATAAAAACGTAATGAATTAAATCCGTTGAAATAAACGCCATGATTTTAAGCAACACAAGAACAATCATTATTCAAAAATTTATTGATATTTTGTGCCTTTCGCATTGTTCAAAATACAATCTCCAGTTTATATGAACATTTAAGTACAATATAATTCACACAATATATATATATATATACACATATATACACACACACATATATATATATATACGATATACGCTCGATGTATAGATAGATAATTGTGTAACCATTTAATTCTGGTTCCAGGCCTAACAACTACTAATTATATTTTTTAAATACTTATGCTCTATTAACAAACAAATGGGATGAAAAGTTTTTGTTAAAATATTTAATACAAAATAACCGTGATACGATATTTCAGCCGAGTTGTTACCCCTACTGTCATTATATATATATATATAACATGCACTGCACGTCTCAAAATAAAAATAAAAATTGTTATCCTTCTTAGCTGCCTATCATAAGACTTGATAACAAATGTACATGTATTTCTAATATCTTTAATATTCGTTGATGATTTTAAAAAACAATATTTAATAAAATGAAATAATATTTTAAACGCCGTTACTAATAGAGGTAATATTTTTTATTTTTTTCAGTAGCTGTATTGGTTTCAACGGTAAGTTGATTAACTTACCGAGTTTCTTCTATCCGACCTTGTACATATGGATTGGTGTACTCTGGATATCATTATCTTGTGTCAAAAGCGCGAGGTGACTTGTCAAGGTTTTATCGATTTTTTTTAACCTCCGTCGCCAGCTATAAGTTAATATGGCGCCTTCCTGGCGGTACCTGGCTCTGTACATAAAGGGCTCTGTATATTGTGTGCCTTACCGCCTAACAATACTTGTCTCCGAACACTAGCCTACAGAGTGTTAAAAAAATCTTATATTCATTCAAAAAGCCATTTATCTTCATCAGCTATAAGTTGTAGCGGTCCCTACAGATTCTACAACTAAGCAGACCCCTATTTCTGAACATGCGGCTGTTGTGAAACCAGAAGAGTCTGCCTGTTTTAGCTATGTTAAGAGTCAAACTGTCTAGTGGTTAAGAACATGACAAATCTTGTGTACTTCCTGGGAGGTGGTGGTACTGGGAAAACTCGCGTGAACAAGTTGCTACCGTTAGGAGGTCTTTGTTGAAATCTCAGACGCCACGGGGGCGCATACATGCTTGTTGGCTGCCGGTAAGGTGTATGTTTAAACAGGTGATTTAGTAGTTGGCACAGTATAGAGACTGGAAGAACAAGTTGACGGGACTTAGAAGAAGCCGACTGCCGAAAGACTTTCTATGTTACGGGAAGCCCTAGCTCCCTACCGGTTGCCGATTGACAAGCTGTTCCGACAAAAACTCGAAAGGGTCTTGCGTATACAAAGAACGAGGCTTACTTGATAAAACCAGGTAGTTAGAGCAGCCCTAATCAATAATTTTGTGCCCGAGATTCCTGATTAATAGGTAAGCCTACCTCGCTTATCGGTTCTGTTCCTTTTACTGACGTGCTAGACCTTACTGGACAGTTCACTGGTCAACTAATGCCGCGCTGTCAGGTAGTCGTAGCCGCCATGGTGGCTCCTACCATCCCTGCTACCACACCATGGCGTGTTTTTACCTGCTCTGGCAACCGCCATTATTATCGTAGTGCGTCACTACCGAAGCAATCGTATTGGTCTACCAACTCCACGAGGGCGTTCCCGAGAGCCCTCTGCCTGCAGTAGAAAGTAACCCATCAATCACTATATGTTTGAGATATTAAAAAGAAAATGAGACGAGTATGGTCAGAATTTGGAAGGGACTGAATGCATCTTTGAGCTTAATTCGTAACCTACGCCACTCCCCAACTCTCGTGAGCTGCTTAACGAACTGGCTTCCCACTCCGATCACACACCACTTCACGGTGACGATCGGTCCACGTTCTGTTAGATATATCTAGAGAATGACGACTGCTTCGGTAAAGTTTATCTAATCTCTACTGCTAGATTTTCTCACCTCTACAGAGAGAAGTGCACCTTTCAACAGTGTTTCTAGCCGTTCTACAAAGGACGACTTACCCTGTTAAATACCACCAAGTTTTAAAGTGTTTTCAGTCTCCCAACGCAACTAACTCGTTCAAGTGCTCCTTACCTCGGCAGGTGACTGGACACCAGTAGGCTCGGGGCAATCTCAAGTGTCGTGCGTGGCGCGTGCTAATCACTCGCGAGTCACCTGCCACGATGCTCGGCTGATTTTCATACAGTATCCGAGAGACTGTTCAAAAAGATGAATCACCTAAGTACCATGTATGCCACTAAACGAAGGAGGCGAAACAGCAAAAGGTAAGAAACACGTTCTAAATACCGAAACTGCACTCTGTTCTATTTAGCTCTTTGCTCGAATTTGTAATTACCAATGAATGTAGTAAATAAGAAAATTCAGTTCTTCTAGATGATCCAATCTATCACACGCAATGTCTTAGTTTTATAACCATCACACACGAGATCTTACAATGACCTCCAGAGGAAGTCGCGTGTTTCTACTGCGCCCGTCCAACAGTGTCAGATGTGTTTATTAAAGGACTTTCACGCAAACAGGCGGTGCTGGGTCGAGCAACTACAACTCCTGCCCTGTAATCCACGCCGTCCCCTCCAGACAAGTCGGTAATCTCTATGTGGCTAACTTTTTTGTTACTCTTAGCATTTCCACGACTAATGTTCTCCATGATCTCCGATTCCTCAATGAGAAGTACACGTGGGTATATACTTTTTGGATAAGGACACGAGAAGAAAGTGCTATAGGACGCGGGGTCTATCTGTATGTATTCTGGTGGCGTAAAGTACCGCGTGCGGCATGCGAACTATGAGCTCTTGCACGCACAAAATGACGTTAATAAGAGTAAACATCAAAATACATTCACGCATGAATAAAGATTTGGTTTTTTTAGATCTAAGAAAATATCACTTTTGGGATTCATAAATATATCGATAAAAGGCATCTGCTCAAAATCATGTGTGAGACGTAGATATAACATGTGATAGCACTGATAGCAATAGAACTGTTGAAGTAAGCTATTATGTATCGTATAATTTATATTCCACATAATCACGTAGGCTGGCACGATAAACAATGAGATTCGACTCAAGAATATAACAGATCAAGCTGCATAATCTCACGAGACTTCTTAAGATGTAACGTGGTTTTTGTGACTTTTCTAAAATCGGGATCGAAATTTGTCTCGTGCTGTTGATCCGCGACATCACGTGCAGGATCCTCCTCTCGTACCGATTTCCGCACGTTTTGTAAATCCGCGTATACCTATATCACAAATTCCTGTAATTTTGTGTGTTCACGCACTTATAAAGTGGAGGATCCATAGTTTCGTGTCGGAGTCTGCCCTCAGAACATGCAAGCTGCAGTTTAAGACTTACCTGGACACATTATAGGGCTGGATTTCGTGCGTCCCGGCCACCTCCCTTGTACGTCCTAATACCACGTCATGTACTTTTCGTACAAAGCCACATTTAGTGACATGCAAGCTCGGTGGGTTTATACAAAGGAGTTGGTGAGAAGGATTCAGACAAGAACAGCGACAGGTTCCTTAAACACTGACTACTGCTCTCATAGTTTTGCTTGTCTTAGCTTGGGAACTTAATACCGTTTGAAATTTCTGTGCACAATATCGAAACAGTGCGGAGTCGCACAACCAACCATATCTGATGCTCTGTATAGTCAGTCTTCTACATAAGAATGTCCTTCCTGTGATTAGAGACAGAAGTTGTAAGTCCTATACGAATTGTATAGATTTCATTGAAACTATGTTAGGATTATATTTATGTTAAACATAGTGTGATCTGATTGACATTAGCAACCTCCTTCATCTACTACAAGCGGTACGGGACACAAATAGTTTTCAAAAGCAAAGTGCTGTATAGATTACGTGTATTTTCCAAAGAAAAACTCTATTATAATTTGTGGGTCCGTTTATTATAGGTCTCCAGTGTTTATTTGTAAACTTTAATATTTGTTGTTCTTGTTTTAATACAAATAAGAAAAACATTTAATGATCGTCATTTCGTCTCTTCTGTGTTATTTGGAGATCGATCATAAGTCTATAGTTTGACCCTACATTGTTTTCAAATCAGTATCTTAGAGTTGACTTATCGAATATAGTCAGGCAGTTTTCTAACCAGTGTAATAGAGTTGACTTATTGCATATAGGCAGGCAGTTTTCTAACCAGTGTAATAGAGTTGACTTATTGCATATAGGCAGGCAATTTTCTAGCCAGTGTATAGAGTTGACTTATTGCATATAGGCAGGCAGTTTTCTAACCAGTGTAATAGAGTTGACTTATTGCATATAGGCAGGCAGTTTTCTAACCAGTATCATAGAGTTGACTTATTGCATATAGGCAGGCAGTTTTCTAACCAGTGTAATAGAGTTGATTTATTGCATATAGGCAAGCAGTTTTCTAACCAGTGTAATAGAGTTGACTTATTTCATATAGGCAGGCAGCTTTGTAACCAATATCTATATACTAATCCAATGTATATATATTTATTTTGGATGATGTATCGATTTTCATCCTATTGCGGTCCTTTGGATATGATGTTTCAAGCTGTTAGCGCAGACATTCTATGGCGCTGTTTCCAAAGGACTGTAGGTACATGAAGCTCAATATACCAACAAAATGAATCATTATTTACTATTTAAAACTCCTCTTAAACAAAATGAATTAGGAGTTCAGACCATATTTGTATATTAGAAACATCGGGTATCAAAATAGTTAGATACATTTATGTTGTATAGATTTGTTAATGAAGGCTAATTAATACAAGACGTAGTGAGACATATGTTTGTTTGTACATCCAAATTCATAATTATATGGTAGGTAAATTATAAAAGACTGGCGAACTTCAAGATTTATATTAAAATGCTACTTCTTTAATATAATATATATAAAGATTACTCGATAGAGTAGCATTAGAAATCCCTTTATTATTATAATACATATATATTTATTTATATCTGCATACATGAATATTCATGACAAATAGTTGTTACAAACATTTCCACTTCCATCCCATAAATCATACGCAGAATTTCAGCAGACTGGGTAAGAACTTAACCATTCGAAGTTGAATGAATGGGCCGAGTTTTACCATTGATTTTCGGTATATATTTGTGTGTGTGTGTGTTTGTGTTTTGATGCTACTATTTGTGTGTGTGTGTTTGTGTTTGATGCTACTATTTGTGTGTGTGTGTTTGTGTTTGATGCTACTATTTGTGTGTGTGTTTGTGTTTTGATGCTACTATTTGTGTGTGTGTTTGTGTTTTGATGCTACTATTTGTGTGTGTGTTTGTGTTTTGATGCTAATATTTGTGTGTGTTTGTGTTTTGATGCTACTATTTGTTTGTGTGTTTTGATGCTACTATTTGTGTGTGTTGATGCTACTATTTGTGTGTGTGTTTGTGTTTTGATGCTACTATTTGTGTGTGTGTTTGTGTTTTGATGCTACTATTTGTGTGTGTTTGTGTTTTGATGCTACAATTTGTGTGTGTTTGTGTTTTGATGCTACTATTTGTGTGTTTGTGTTTTGATGCTACTATTTGTGTGTGTGTTTGTGTTTTGATGCTACTATTTGTGTAATTATAATCTTGCCACCTCTCCATCGCAAAGAAAAGGTACCTACAATCGCTATTTTCTGGTACGAACTTTAGCGTTCTGGCCTCAAATCCTCCTAAACGTGAGGATGGCGAGGGGTATTCTGACTTGTCAATTAAGGGCCATTTACTAGTAAACCAGTTGGTAAAAAGTATTTTTTTTATATATATGACGCACAAAGGTCAAGTCTCTAAGTAAACTGATTTGCAGCCTCCATTTTTTCTCCTTTAAACAGGACTGCATCATTTCTAGTAAAGATTACAACAATTATAAAAATTATCAACTGCCTGATACAACCTTTGTATCAATTTTTCACTAATAAGTGTCACCTACAGTTATGTGGTGATATACATGCATACTTCGCAATAAGTCCCCCGACGGAATAACGGGTTGTCTAAGGATTTATAGCGCTAACATCCGGGATTTGATAACTGCAGATAACCTGATGTGGCTTTGCTTTAAAACGAACAAACTTCAGAATAAATTTATTTTATGTTATAAAAACCAGGTTGCGCCACTTTCCATCATACTCTCACTTCACCTTAGAAGTTGGGAGATCACGTCAGTTTAATAAAGATAAAATATCCACCAGCAGAAATTTATTGTATATATATAGGAATGAAGAGACAGAATCTGTATACATAGTTCTCCTATCGAATCTTGTTTGTTTGTTTTCATCAACTGAATAAGAAAATAATAATATATTAGTTGTATTTTAAAATACTAATAACAACCCCACATATTCTATCCGTTTTTTGAAATTTCCAGTGTCCACGATTTTTAGACGCACAAAACTTATGTGCGTATATGCTTTCTCGCCTCAAATCCAGATGTTTGTCGAACAAATCGGAGATGTTATAACCATGTTAGATTATAAGTTTATGGACTTAAGCCTAAAATAAATATAACTTAAGCCTATAAAAAAAAAACTTAAGCCTAAACAGATAACGTGTGACATGTTTGTCAGTTCTCTAAAATAATTCTAATATAAACTTTGTATGTATGTGTGTGTGAGTATGTATGTATATGTACTATATATATATACATATATTCATACATACATATACAATTTATATTGTTATGGGTCAAACATGTGTAAGCTGTATTTCTGGCAGCTTCATGTCAGTATTACGTGTGTATTCTCCAACAAAGCAAAGCCAGACATATATATATAGGAATAGTGTATTATGCGCATACAATGGACTATAATTATTTACGAACAAATGTAAGATGTAACGTATACGAATACCTAGAGAGATTTGTAAGGCCTGTGCCTGTTTTATGCTAGTAAGGTTCTTCGTAGAGAAGAACAGCGACACTGAACGGCTTTAAACTTTTATATCGAAGTAAAAAAAAATATTTAATGCCAATAAATAGTGAAAGGATTTTTCTCGACATCTCGCAAAAGAGGACTAAGCCTACAACTTTGCAATCAGTATATAAACGTGATCGTATACTGAGTACGTTTGACGGAACAGTAACTTGAAAACTACTGTTACTTTTCAGAATATAATCTCGCAACGCAGATGTAATTGAGCCAACGTTTTTGTTTGTTTGTTTTTACAAAGTTTTAAAGTTACACGAAGATTGGCACAAGAATAAGACAGCGAAAACAACTTTTTGAAATTATCAACAATCATTCATCTGTGTGTGAGTTTTATTGTGACGAAAAACAG